GAACACTGGCATGTGACAGTATTTAAGCAGGTATGAACACTGGTATATGACAGTATTTAAGCAGGTATGAACGCTGGTATGTGACAGTATTTAAGCAGGTATGAACACTGGTATATGACAGTATGAACACTGGTATATGACAGTATTTAAGTCAAATATCTATTTGTTTGGTGCATGCACAGGCTTTCAAAAATTGAGAAGTGTTTAGTTACCAGGTAATTTCCTTCTAAATGGCGAATTTCCAACCAAATAGAGCACAACAGACGATATTCAGGCTTTTTATTATGAAAATGCAGGTTTATGTCTCTCTTTGTAATGCCATATCTCCTAAACCAGTTGTGGAATGAATTTGAAACCTCATATTTGTGCACTTCATTTATGCCAGATAACGAATAGATCAACTAATTATAAATCCCTGATGAGGCCGGAAATGACCCATAAGGCCCCTAGTCCTTTGGAATCCTATTTTTTAATTCCGCCTAGTACACCTGTGAGCATCTCATGTGAGGAATGCAACGGGTAAAAGAGAAATAATTATTTTACTGACATTTGAAATCTGGGCTATGTTTTAAACAGTTTCATGGTCTACCCTCTGACCAGCTGTTGGTTTGAAACCACAAAAGACAAACGACAAACAAAAAATAGTCATTAAGGCAAGCACATTTATTACACATTTATTACAGTAGGTGTACAGAGGCTGCAAACAACCTCAAAGTGAGAGAAAAATCATTAAAGGACATAATCGTGCAAGTCAGATGTAAGTGACTATAAAGCTATAACATATACCAGTAACCTATCCAGAACAGTCTCTATCACACCCTATAGCAAGCTGTTCCCTTATATCCTGATACATGTACATGTACAACATTTCAACAATCTACTTTGTGAGCTGTTAAATAACTTCTAAATTCTCAGCCTCACCATACCTAAAATAACTTATGAAGTTCTTTTTTCCAATTAGTAACATCTTAATTGGTCAAGTTTGTGAGACAATAATTTGCAAAATTGTAAACCTATCATAAATTCATTAAGTTTGTAAGATTTTTTATTTGCCAAATTATGAAATCTAAATTGGTCCATTTTGTAAGATGTTAATTTGAAAATTTGTAACATCTTTATTGGTTCAGTTTGTTAGATTTTAACTTGTCAAAATGTAACATTATAATAAATTGGTTTTTATGATTTCAATATGCCAATATGTGACTAATTATCAGCACTAGCCCTTTCAAAAACCTGGTCCCACGCAGATGATTAATTTAGTGACACAAAGGAATATGATAGAAAATTCACAAAACGTACTGATTGCCGATATAATTTGCTTATTTTATACAAAAACAGAGTGAACATGACAACTTCTCATGCATACATGTGTATTAAGCTGTATCAATATTTGTTTAAGAAACAGAAAATAGTATGGTGTTTTATATGATTGTTTTCAAACTGACTCCGACAGTAAATAGATATAAAAACTGGCTCCGACAGTAAATAGATATACAAATCGGCAGTGACAGATACGTTTGTGTACAAGCGAGTACCACCAGTATTGATAAAATGCCCTTATGAAAACATACAAACTGCATACATGTGATGTTTCCCTATATGACTGGGAGTCTCACGGTTCGAGCAACAACACAGACATCTCCCGTTTCTTCGCATTTTGACATGCAAATCTACTGACTTTGATCTGACTATCATTTTACTGGCACTGTTAAGAAGAAAATCTACCATTAAAACTACATTTATATGAATTAAATTAAATAGGAGATCTTAAGTAACCACTCCCACTTTTAAATATCAATTTAAATAGTCTGGTGCAGCAGAGACGTATAAAGCTGGTAGTATGTACGTTTCTGGGTGCAGTACATGTGTAATTTACATAAAAACAGTCTGCAATGTGATGTAGTCAAACGTCTGGTTAATACAGGTTTTCAGATAATAAAGGTGTTATTTACATAAAAACAGTCTGCAATGAGATGTAGTCAAGGTGTAATTTACACTAAAACTGTTTGCAATGCAGTGTAAAAACGTTACCTTATATCAAACATTTGTTGATTGCTACATATTAGCCATATAAACGCATTGGCAACATAATCTATACAATTGCTATAATTTTCAACATCGGCAACATAAACATAATCTATATATAATTGCTATAATAAACAAAAAAGATAAAAAAAAAATGGTCCTCTTTAATCACATATGGTCCTCATCGGTTGGTGTCACCAAAAACAAAAAATATCATTTCAGGATCAATGGTTATGAGCAGTCACTTAAATTTTCGAATACATTCCATTCCGGTTAATGTCATGCTGCTTATTCTCATACTTTGGTTAATATCATGTTTCATAAACACTCTTTCAGTAATCCTGACTGACTGAGTGTAACTATGTAATGACGAGAGCAGATTTTCATGAAATATTCAAAATCCGACTTTCGAATTTTCGAATACATTCCATTCCTGTTAATGTCATGCTGCTTATTCTCATACTTTGGTTAATATCATGTTTCATAAACACTCTTTCAGTAATCCTGACTGACTGAGTGTAACTATGTAATGACGAGAGCAGATTTTCATGAAATATTCAAAATCCGACTTCTTAAACAGTTTAATACTAGTACACTTAAACTAAAATGGCTTGCTTTTACAGAAAAACAAATATTCCTGTCACACTTCTGATTTAACTACATTTTATCTGACAAACGACACATGATATTAAAGAATACATCAGCTAAGTAGAGGAAAACACAACAATGACAAATTAAATATATCACAGGTAACAAAATTTCGAAGGCTTCTCGTCAAATAAAACAGTTTTGATTATGTAAATGATAATAACTTAAAGTTCTTATATACCGCTTTATCACAACCTACATTGTCTCAAAGGGGTTCACAAATTACCATCCATGGTTACTGGGCCTTTGCAATCAGCCAATATCTTTCTCAACTCCCTGGGGAGCATACAGCCGGTGCTGCCATTTCGCTGATCACAGCTAGCATTCAACAATTCCAGCACTGCCCAACCACATACTCATTTACAGCTGAGTAGACTGGAACAAGTGGAGTAAAGTATCCTGTTCAAGGATACAATACAGTGCCATGACAGGATTCGAACCCACGACCCTTCAGTCACAGGCTCGGCATCCTACCACTTACCGTGCTTTCTTTGTAACAGAAATGATTCAGGTAGCAAAAGAAAGTACAAAATGTATTTCTAATCCAAAATATTTATATAACAGCTTATTTTTACATTAAAGATCAATAGCCGTATGTTATTCAGTACTTTATGCTAATTAAACAGCTGACCAACTACATATTTAGCCATTATTTTGGGGAACAGGTCTCTCATTTCTATTCAAAAGTCTTCCGGTAAAACAGTAATTCATAATCTAGTTTATTTAGCTGGCTGGATCAACAAATTTCCACAAAATATCTTTAGTCCAGAGTTCTGAAAAAGATATATAAAATAACAGATAATTTGTGTCCCTTCAACTTCGCTTTGTGCTTTACTGGTGATGAGTTTGAGGTCTGTTTCTGTGACTTGTTTAAGTGTAAAATAAATGTAATACCAAAGAATTGACATTTGTACATCACCAGTAATAACATAGTGTAAAGGATCTGATAATACATTTGACATTGACTGTTCTGGTTATACTGAAATACGAAGGTTTGTTTCTGAAGTAAATCTTGTTTCCCAAAGGCAAAACATTGCATGCATATTTGTCTTCGACTCCCAGTCAAGTGACATGTTTACACAAATCAGAAATACTGTAACATAGATGAATCAACAATTTATGTCATGTTGTAACAAATGCAATGATGAACATTGCATCAAAGACCCCTGAAAAGGGCTTGATTATAAATTTTAACAGATCACAAGGTATGTCCTCACATCAAAATTTGCATCGAACAGGATGATGATTGTGCTGTCAATGATATCATTAACTTGTTACATCTTAATGAGGCCTGTGTACAATTCATACTGGCTTTATACGTAGAGGTCAACGTGTCACAGTTCATGGCCAATGAATAACACTTCCGTCTAAGGTAAAGACAATTCTGTAATCAATGTAGCGAGTAATCCGGTAACACATGTATTGTGACATGTAAAGCAACAAGAGTACCGCGGGGCGGAACAATATACGCCCGTCGAATGCCATATAGTGATATATACTTTCTTACATTGAAATAAGATCTGCATCATTCTAAGAGTGGTTAGCTGACATGCTATAAAAAATGTAGGAGAAAATCTCCAGGCAAAAAATCAAATACTGAAATAAACAAAGGGCAAGAACTTTTGCAAAAATTGTCGAATCAAAATTCTGTTAAAGAGATCGGTCGAAAAATGTAGGAGGAGATTGCCGGACAAAAAATCAAATACTGAAATGAACAAAGGGCAATAACTTTTGAAAAGATAGTCGAATCAGAGTTCTGTTAAGGGAGACACAACTTCATATCATGATTATAATGTATACCAAGTTTCAAAGAGATCGGTCGAAAAATGTAGGAGATCTCCAGACAAAAAAAGTTTACATCAAACTAAATGAATAAATCACAGATAATCACTGAATAAAATCCTACCAATCAAAGTATAGGAAGTTTTCACGACTGTGGGGACCTTTAACATTTACCTTAACCCTTTCATCACTGTAGACCATAATAGGCCTATCCAGATCAATGTATGGCAGAGTCTACTAAAGTTACATAGGGGTGAGAGGGTTAAGACCTAAGAAAACAACATGGCTGGATTTAATAAATGGGGACGGATCTGATGTTCACCATGTGTCGTGAGCTTCTAACAAAGTTTTGTCGATCTGTAGCAATAAAGTTTATTACTCTACCAGAAATTGGTTTACTGGTGGGTTATTCTAAAACTTAATATTCAAGTTCCTTTAGTGTGGAAATCGTATGGTAGGGAGATGTATGTTACAGTGAACACACAGTCATAAAATACCTCAACATTTAAACTACCAGTATATACACAGTAAGGTAGCATACAGCCTTAAGTATGTTATTGACAAACACACAGCCAGTCTAACCTACCTCAACATTTAAACTACCAGTACATAAACAGAAAGGTAGCATACAGCCTTAAGTATGTTATTGACTACAGCCAGTCTAACTTACCTCAACATTTAAACTACCAGTACATAAACAGTAAGGTAGCATACAGCCTTAAGTATGTTATAGACATAAACAGTCATAGTCTAACTTACCTCAACAATTTAACTAAATACAATAAGGTAGCATACAGCCTTAAGTATGTTATTGACAAACACACAGCCATAGTCTAACTTACCTCAACAATTTAACTTAATACACTAAGGTAGCATACATTATTGACAAACACACACAGAGCTGTAGTCTCTGCACTTACATCGACAACTGATCTATATAGATTACACAATAAGGTAGCATATAGCCTTAAGTATGTTATCAACATACACAGCCATAGTCTGACTTACATCAACAATTTAACTAAATAAAATAAGGTAGCATACAGCCTTAAGTATGTTATCGACATACACAGCCATAGCCTGACTTACATCAACAATTTAACTAAATACACAAATCCTAAAGAATCACACTATCTTTAAAATGTCATCATTGGCTGTGTTAGAAAAGAGAGGAGTTGACGGCATTTCCAGTTCCTGTGTTATTGATACGTAAGGAATGTCCGAGTTGAGTTTGTTGATCGCAGGATAGTACTGTCTGTAACACATGTAGGCAATGGCCATCCCCAGGACTGATCCCACACTCACATCTGTAGACAAAGGGAGACAATTATTTATTGAAGGTTTGTAATTCCTAAATGTAGATCAAACATTTCAGTCTCTAAAAGTTCATTAAATATATCAAATATTTTCATTTAAAAAATTCTCAAAAATGGCGGAGAGATGGATAACAACACATTGCTAGAGATGAACTTGTTAAAGTCAGAGAGTTTTAGGATGAACAGGAATATACTCGTGTTGGTCTAAAGAGTAAGTCAAGCTAGCGCAACAATTATCATTTAAAATCAATCCTAATTTTAATGCCATATGCAGAAAAACCTTGTAAACATACCACATGCCTCTCGGCTATATATACTTCATGTGAACATTTTACAATTTATATGAAAACTCTTTTAAAGACTGATTTCTTGGTCCAATCCACTTTATACCATCCTATTTCAGCCTGAGAGAAAAACTGCTTTATAATAGTTTTAAGGTATTCTAGGTTTTGGTCATGTTCACATGCTGAGGATGGACAGACAATACAAAGTCAAGTCTGTCATAGTGTGAGGATGGACAGATGGACAGACAACTCAAAGTCAAGTCTGTCGTATTGTGAGGATGGACAGACAGCTCAAAGTCAAGTCTGTCGTAATGTGAGGATGCACAGACAACTCAAAGTCAAGTCTCTCGTATTGTGAGGATGGACAGACAACTCAAAGTCAAGTCCGTCGTAGTGTGAAGATGGACAGACAACTCAGTCAAGTCTGTTGTAGTGTGAGGATAGACAGACAACTCAAAGTCAAGTCTGTCGTAGTGTGAGGGTGCACAGACAACTCAAAGTCAAGTCTGTCGTATTGTGAGGATGGACAGACAACTCAAAGTCAAGTCTGTCGTAATGTGAGGGTGCACAGACAACTCAAAGTCAAGTCTGTCGTAGTGTGAGGGTGGACAGACAACTCAAAGTCAAGTCCGTCGTAGTGTGAAGATGGACAGACAACTCAGTCAAGTCTGTTGTAGTGTGAGGATAGACAGACGTCTCAAAGTCAAGTCTGTCGTAGTGTGAGGATGGACAGACAACTCAAAGTCAAGTCTGTTGTAGTGTGAGGGTGGACAGACAACTCAAAGTCAAGTCTGTTGTAGTGTGAGGGTGGACAGACAACTCAAAGTCAAGTCTGTTGGAGTGTGAGGATGGACAGACAACTCAAAGTCAATTCTGTCATAGTGTGAAGATGGACAGACAACTCAAAGTCAAGTCTGTCGTAGTGTGAGGGTGTACAGACGTCTCAAAGTCAAGTCTGTCATAGTGTGAAGAAGGACAGACAACTCAAAGTCAAGTCTGTCGTAGTGTGAGGGTGGACAGACAACTCAAAGTCAAGTCTGTCGTAGTGTGAGGATGGACAGACAACTCAGTCAAGTCTGTCGTATTGTGAGGATGGAAAGACAACTCAAACTCAAGTCTGTCGTAGTGTGAGGATAGACAGACAACTCAAAGTCAAGTCTGTGGTATTGTGAAAATGGACAGACAACTCAAAGTCAAGTCTGTTGTAGTGTGAGGATGGACAGACAACTCAAAGTCAAGTCTGTTGTAGTGTGAGGGTGGACAGACAACTCAAAGTCAAGTCTGTTGGAGTGTGAGGATGGACAGACAACTCAAAGTCAATTCTGTCATAGTGTGAAGATGGACAGACAACTCAAAGTCAAGTCTGTCGTAGTGTGAGGGTGTACAGACGTCTCAAAGTCAAGTCTGTCATAGTGTGAAGAAGGACAGACAACTCAAAGTCAAGTCTGTCGTAGTGTGAGGGTGGACATAAAACTCAAAGTCAAGTCTGTCTTAATGTGAAGTCTGTCATAGTGTGAAGATGGACAGACAACTCAGTCAAGTCTGTCGTAGTGTGGGGGTGGACAGACAACTCAAAGGCAAGGCTGTCATAGGGTGAGGGTGGACAGACAACTCAGTTAAGTCTGTCGTATTGTGAGGATGGACAGACAACTCAAAGTCACGTCTGTCATAGTGTGAGGGTGGATAGACAACTCAAAGTCAAGTCTGGCGTAGTGTGAGGGTGGACAGACAACCCAAAGTCAAGTCTGTCTTAATGTGAGGGTAGACAGACAACTCAAAGTCAATTCTGTCATAGTGTGAAGATGGACAGACAACTCAAAGTCAAGCCTGTCTTAATGTGAGGGTGGACAGACAACAGACAACTCAAAGTCAAGTGTGTTGTAGTGTGAGGGTGGACAGACAACTCAAAGTCAAGTCTGTCATAGTGTGAGGGTGGACAGACAACTCAAAGTCAAGTCTGTCTTAATGTGAGGGTGGACAGACAACTCAAAGTCAAGTCTGTTGTAGTGTGAGGGGGGACAGACAACTCAGTCAAGTCTGTCGTAGTGTGAGGGTGGACAGACGTCTCAAGGTCAAGTCTGTCGTATTGTGAGGATGGACAGACAACTCAAAGTCAAGTCTGTCATAGTGTGAAGATGGACAGACAACTCAAAGTCAAGTCTGTCGTAGTGTGAGGGTGTACAGACGTCTCAAAGTCAAGTCTGTTGTAGTGTGAGGATAGACAGAGTTTCTCTGTGCTGACCCTTGACCTTGTGACCTTGTGACCCTGTGACCCCATAACTTACCTTGCCAGTGGTGGTGGTAGTCAGCGGTGCGTGACACACTGATCATAACAGCCCAAAGGAGGAGGCAGACAACACAAAACATACGCCATGTCTGACCTCTGCCCCGATGACTGAAACACTGCAGCTTTCCAGCTACATACAGGGCCAGGAAACCAAGGCTACTGAAGGCAACTAAAACAGAAACATAACAGAAATCAATTAATGATGGTAACCAAGGCTACTGAAGGCAACTAAAACAGAAACAGAACAGAAATCAATTAATGATGGTAACCAAGGCTACTGAAGGCAACTAAAACAAAAACATAACAAAAATCAATTAATGATGGTAACCAAGGCTACTGAAGGCAACTAGAACAGAAACATAACAGAAACCAATTAATGATGGTAACCAAGGCTGCAGAAGGTAACTAGAACAGAAACATAACAGAAACCAATAAATGATGGTAACCAAGGCTGCTGAAGGTAACTAGAACAGAAACATAACAGAAACCAATTAATGATGGTAACCAAGGCTACTGAAGGCAACTAGAACAGAAACATAACAGAAACCAATGAATGATGGTAACCAAGGCTACTGAAGGTAACTAGAACAGAAACAGAACAGAAACCAATTAATGATGGTAACAAGGCTGCTGAAGGTAACTAAAACAGAAACATAACAGAAACAAATTAATGATGGTAACCAAGGCTACTCAAGGCAACTAGAACAGAAACATAACAAAAACCAATTAATGATGGTAACCAAGGCTACTTGATGTAACTAAAACAGAAACATAACAAAACCCAATTAATGATGGTAACCAAGGCTACTTGATGTAACTAAAACAGAAACATAACTTCATCAATTATGATGGTAACCAAGGCTACTGGAGGTAACTAACACAGAAAGATAACAAAAAACCCAATTATGATGGTAACCATGACTACTGACAGCAATTGAAATTTAGAGAAATCATGATTTTTAACGATAAAAGGTTACCTTGGTAACAATATATATGTTACAAATAACTCCTAAAATGGCAGTCAATTAAAAGTGAGAAATAACAACAATGGCTGCTTTAACAGAAAAACATCCCAAACACAAACAAACAGTAGGCGTGGTACTAATTAATAGACTCCAAGCACTACTCTAAACAGAACTCATTAATAGACTCCAAGCATTACTTTAAACAGTACTCATTAATAGACTCCAAGCATTACCCTAAACAGTTCTAATTAATAGACTCCAAGCACTACTTTAAACAGTACACATTAATAGACTACAAGCACTACCCTAAACAGTACTTATAAATAGACTCCAAGCACTAGTTTAAACAGTACTCATTAATAGACTACAAGCACTACCCTAAACAGTACTCATTAATACACTCCAAGCACTACTTTAAACAGTACACATTAATAGACTACAAGCACTACCCTAAACAGTACTTATTAATAGACTCCAAGCACTACCCTAAACAGTACTCATTAATAGACTCCAAGCAATACCCTAAACAGTACTTATAAATAGACTCCAAGCACTACTTTAAACAGTACTCATTAATAGACTACAAGCACTACCCTAAACAGTACTTATAAATAGACTCCAAGCACTACTCTAAACAGTACTCATTAAAAGACTCCAAGCACTACTTTAAACAGTACTCATTAATAGACTCCAAGCACTACCCTAAACAGTACTTATTAATAGAATCCAGGCACTACTCTAAACAGTACTCATTAACAGACTCCAAGCACTACTTTAAACAGTACTAATTAATAGACTCTAAGCACTACCCTTAACAGAACTCATTAATAGACTCCAAGCACTACTCTAAACAGTACTCATTAATAGACTCCAAGCACTACTCTAAACAGTACTAATTAATAGACTCTAAGCACTACCCAAAACAGAACTCATTAATAGACTCCAAGCACTACCGTAAACAGTACTCATTAATAGACTCCAAGCACTACTCTAAACAGTACT